ATATTATCTTCACCATTAGAAGCACTACAAAAAACTTTCGGAATGCTAGAAAGAAACCCAACTTTCAGCAAAACTTAATTCTACGTGAACTAATCCGGAAAAAAATAAACAAACTGATGTTAGTCCGAAAAAGGAAAAAAAAACAGCTGCAAAAAAAAACAAGTCCAGGTAGGATGCAAAGCAACAGCTTTTGTCGTCTGAAATAAGTGGTGCTTTACCTCTAGGCCAGGTGGTTTTTTGACTTATAAGAAGACTATCGTAGGCAAAATAGGCAAATTTGAATTGCCAAACAAAACTTTACCAGAATTTTAAGGAAATATTGACAAATTTCGAATGAAAGTATACGCTGCGCAATTATCTTAATTGGATATAAAACGAAATTGCGCAAAAAAACAAACGACACTAAATTGGGTTAAGATAAATTCTTACAGTCTGAAAACAAGAAACAACAATCAAAAAAAGTACGTTTTTTTTAATCAAACCAATTATCACATTGCAATATTTCATTTTATTAAACCAACATTTTAAGCAAAAGTTAAAAAAAATCCCTGAAATAAAGTACAAAATGTAACCATATTCTTCAAAATTGAATTGAATAGAACAATTGACTTGAATTGAGTCTTATAAGAAATATGCATTGAAAAATCAAGAAATAAAAATAAACTTCACAGAAATTTAGAAAAATTGAAGAAAAAAAACTCAAAAAAGTGCCTTGACTTTTTGAGTTTAATTATCTGGTCAAATAAAAATGTCACAATATGGAGACAAAGCCGACAACAAAAAGCAGATAAAAAAGCCCAAAAAGTCTGGAATTTTCATTTTGCAGAAAAACAAGTCCCGATTGGATTCGAACTTAAGTGTTTTTATATCTCAAGCATGACTGTTACAAAACGAACCAAACACACAGAACGATCAGCTGAATTTAATTGTGTCCCAGGTTTATTTGCTACTTCAAAGAAAATGTGCCGGAGACGCTTAGAAAAACAAGTTCTTCATGACCCAAGATCCCAAGATACCAACTGACTCATCTGATTCTTTTTAAAGAGCTATTAACGCAAAAAACAGTCTAAAGTCCAATTTGATAGCACTTGCTAATCGCGAGCAATAGAAAAGTGATTTTGAATTGAAAAGGCATTTCTTTCAAAACTCATTTGCTACATGTCTATTGTATGTCTGTAATTAATTGCCCAAACTTGTCGTGGATTTAAGTTTTTTCTTTTATAACAAGATACAGTTTAAAAATAGCCAGCGGAACAAGAACTGCTGGTTCCTGTGCAAGTAGAACACAGAGCTTGGACGACAACTTTCCAAAAACCTTTATTTTCGATTTATCAGTTTTTTGGCGTGCAAATAATTTCAAAGTATCCCAGAAGTTCAACACGACTTTTTTTTACTTGTTTCTTTTACAAAACTAACAAATATAATTCAAATCAATCTTTCAATAATCAAAAAACGTATTAATTCTTGTTTTTCAACTTTTTACTCAATAGTTTTTTTAAGTTTTTTGCTATTTGTAGAGCTGGAGAAGGATGTGTTAGAAACGCTTCAAAAACAATTTTTCTACTGCTAAAATTAAATAACCGGCCCATAATTTACTAAGCACTTACCATTTCAAATTGTTTTTCTCAACCTTTCGAAAAACAATTTAAAGAAATTTTAACAGTCATCACATTCAATTTTAAAATTTTATCAGCACATCTGCTTGCTTCTTGCGTCTCTGGATTGTGTAATCGAAATTTTCTTCGTCCGTTATTTCTATTTATACAAAAAATGAATATTTTTTACTTGGTAGTTCACGTAACCTTTTTAATAAGAACAAAACCTGAACTCCAACAAAAAAACGAATAAGGAAGCGAAATTGACAAAAGACTCTTCTAGCGTTTATTAAATGCCAAACATTTACCAAATACTTTTCTGAGTACAATCAGTGGCTGATGAAGCGTTTTTTGTTCTCATGTTTTTCTAATGATATTGTACAGTTGGTCTATCCTCAATCAGTTTTTTTGAGAATGAGAATTACTTCTAGAGAGCCTATTCTTTTTCAAACACCTTTCATTTTATTTAAAAGTTTAAAAGTTTGTCAGTTCTTTCTTGATATTAGTAAAAAAAACATCTATTTAAAAACATATACTAGTAAAAAAAATCTATATAGCACTGTCACAAACAGTTGACTTTTGTCAAAAAAACTTAACACAAAATGAACGGCAAACAGTTTTACAATTCTTTCTATTTTGTTTCTTTGGAACAACTTACGTGAAAGCTCAGTTATTTTCTTTTATTTTTTCAATATAGATGCAATTATTCACTCAGTTTTTACTCAGTGTTTTCGAAACCTTCACATTGTTTATTTGGTGCTTGAACAGTACAAGCCTTAACTTTAAGTTTAGCTGCGCTTCGTTTTCAAAATTAGTACTTGAAGACATTTATCTGTTTCAACTTCTCCTGAAACTACCCTGTAGTAACTAGTACCCAACCAGTAGTTAATAGTAACTTCGTACACACCCAGTTAGTATCCACCAATAATTGATTCAACTAAATTCGGTTAACTAGTTGTTTACTAGAAAAAAATCCTCATTCCGATTTGATAACGCTTGCTAATCGCCAGCTTAAAAAGATATTTCGAAAAATGAACCGGCAAAAACTAGGCCCAAAACAACCAAACTAAAAAAATCAACTTTTTCTTAACATAATTATTTGGAAGTTTATTACTACCGAAAACGTATTCCACCTATTAAATCCTAGATGAGGTAAATTCTTTTAAAATTTAACATGCGTGAAAATTTACGATTCCTACAAAAATTACCATTTTGTGAACAAAATTATTTAGGGGAAAAACATCCAGTACTCGATTGCCATACTCTAGCTTATTGCTAGAGTAAAATTTAATTTTAATAAGTTCAAGAAAAAAATGTCCTGATTTATTTAAAATGGTATTCACTAGAATTATTTATACTTTAGAAGAGAAGAAACAATCGTGACCATAAAATACCTGCACCACTGGATTTTTTACAAATCTCATCTCAATGATTTAAAATCCGAAATTACCGAAAAAGGCTATATGGTAATTAAATTGATAAAGGAAGCAGAACAACGGTATTCCAAATCTTTAAATTATAAAATACCTAGTTTATCAAAAAACAGGTCCCGATTGGATTCGAGCTCAAGGCATTTGTCATCTTGAGCATGGGTGTTGCAAAATGAGGCAAATTGTGCAGAACGATCCGCTGACCTTGAATGTTTTATGAAACGCGTAAAACTATTTGACCTGCGAAAAAACTGAAACAAATTTTCAAGGTAAAAGTCTAAAACCTGCTCATAGCATCCCTGCTGAACAGAAACATAACTTTTTTTGATGCTTATTTTGTTATTTTCTTTTTCTTTCTAAAATGCTATCAGTACTTTCTAAAAGCTATCAGTACTTCATCTTGGTATTTTTTGCCCAACAACGCCAAGTTTAAAGATGGTTTGGCGTTACTCTGTACGTTACTCTGTACTAATTGTCGGGATTCTTCTGCCTAAGCAAAAAAATTTTACCCCGAACCCTCTCCAGAAATTCAAACTGTCCAATTTGCGAGGCTGGTAGTCTGAAAGGACCCCAAAATAAAATTTTACTAAAAACAACGAAACCTTGAGATTTAAATCACTCGGCGGTTCTTCAACAGCTTAGAATAAAACTAATTTTCTGAAAGCTTTCAATTTTTTCTGAAAGCTTTCAGCGCCGAGATCCTCATCTAGTCTATGCTGCTCCCGTTCGTCTACTTTCCAGTCATTATCTCTTACCTTCACCCCTGATAACTTATCATGATCATCTTATCATGATCATTCTTGCCTTCAGTTATCTGTGGCTTTATCTGGTTTACGGCTTCTTCTAGATGGTATTTGGAAGGTACAGTATTACACGTGGCTTCATTTAAAATTGATATCTTTGTTAACAGATAAAAAAGTCAATCTTCGAACACAATATGTAATTGGGTCTATTGACCAATTTCCCTATAAACAAGGCTGATTTAGGGCCCTCTTCTCACTATCGTTTTTTCAATTATCAAGTTTTTCTTTTCTAAGTTAGCTGTAATGAAGGTTTGTAATAATGCAAAGCAGTTTTTACGTTCAATTTCAAACGAATACAGTATTTTTTCATAGCCTTGAAAGCCCACCGTTGAAATCACAAAATACTATTTATACCTGATGGCAGTAATGGTATAAAGAGCCGAAAATCTTGTGGCCCTCATGTTATTTTCAATTTTATTATTCGTTTAAGATATTTTTCCTTTTTTCAGACGGGAATTCTATCGTCCAGTAACTTTTTTGTTATTTTTCTTTTTCTAAAATGCTTTTCATGAACTGATAGCTTCATCTTAACAACTTTTGTCCAACAACGGCAGTTTTACAGATTGTTTTTGATCTACCCTGCTCTACCTATTTAACGCTTAATTTTGAAGTTCAAGAAAGAAAATGTTTGTCTTGATTTTTGCATGTAATTAATTCGATGTTGCGTTATCTAACTAATTAATTTCAACACCCGCACTCGCAGCAAAGAAAACGCCGTTTAGTCCAAAAATTGTCCATCATCACAAAATTTTGTCTGCATTGAAATACCAAAAATACATGCAATTCTAATATTGGAAAAAAATGAAAAAATAAAATTTTCGCCCGAGTTCAGCATACTTGTGGGACCTTCCTAAAAATTTCACAACCCTCTCCCCCTCCCCTCCCTCGCGAATGAAGTACAGCAGAATAAGCTTATATACAATGTTGTCTAGGACCCGAGTAACGCGCAGAACGACGTTGTTTTTACAAGCGCGAACAATCAATCACCGCGGCTAAAACTTACTTGTATTTAGACGTCTACTGTTAAAGGTAAATTAACAAAATTGGTTTCAACTGCGTTTCACTAAAAGCTTACCTTAAAAACAATTCCAATTCAATTTTCATTCAGTATTTTGAATGGTATTAGAAATAGAAAGCAACTGCCGATTATATTTAAGAAACCACCTGTCATTGTCGATAGCCTCCTTTTGCGGCTAAAACGTTTCTTAAAAAAAGTATTACTAACGATATTAACATACGTAACGTTAAATACACGCAATTCATATATTCTATCATATTGTACATAAAGCACGGTCAGCCTATGCACGCGATTTATTCAGCTTGAAATTCATTATACAATATGCTCAGAATAAAAAATTGGTTCTAGCGTCATCGAATAACTCGAAAATTTCTTTTTATCTCCTCCGTTTATCTGATGAAACACAAACAAACATAAAAACTTAGATTTTTATACCAATGATCTGACTGATAAACTTTCTCGAATCTCTTCATTGATACAAAACCAAATCCGATAGGGTGAAAATCTTTTGGAATCCTTCTATCTGGGCAAAGATTGACAAGAGGACTGAATTGTGCAGTATTTAGAACTTTTACACATGTTACTGGCAGTTATGCATTTCATGTCACTAAAATTGCCAAGCGTATGATTTTAACCATCCCAATCTCGGGAAGATTCGGCAAAATTATCTATTTTACGCGCTCAACTTTTATATATGGAATTAAATTACTAGAAAGCGAGCGGAATTACCCGAAATTTTGTTTTAAATTTTTTCATTTTTTATTTTTATTTTTTATTCATTTTTTACCATAGACTTTTCAAAGAGACATTTTCTGAGTGGTGACGATGGTGAGTTGCGAGGAGTGTGAGGAGTTTCTAGACAAGCACGTGGACGTGAACAAGTTCAGGTACCTCGGACTCGGATACATCAAGTACGCATAGTTAATATTTTGACCCTTGTTTCATTTTTCTAAAAACAGTTGCAATTGAAGTCTTTAGTTGCACTTTTAGGTTAGATTAAAGATCTTTAGACTTTTTTTCTTGTTTCTCGAATAAATGCGCATCAGTAAGAATTAAAAAGGATTTTTCATTCTATATATTTTTTTCAGCGCCATGATCCTCATCTACTCTCTGCTGCTCCCGTTTGTCTACTTTCCCACCATTTTCCCCAACCTTAACTCCGGTTACATCATTCTGCACATTCTTGTCTTCAGCTATCTGTGGGTGTGTCTGGTTTACAACTACTTCCAAATGGTATTTTCTAGGTACAAGTATCACAGTTTCCTCCATTTAAAAATGATAGATTTGATAGCAAAATAAGATTAAACAAAAGCGCAGTGAACGGATACAACACAAACATAAAAACATTAGGAATTGAGAAAAACATGAAAGTTTTGAAAAAAAATAAGTCTACCAAAACTTAAACTTTTTCAACAGAAGTCCAATCTAGGCAAACTTGTCAGACATTTGAATAATAAATTAGCAACGAAACAAAACTTTCAAAGAGGAAACAAAGCCGGCAATCTTAAAGCAGACACGAAATGAGCCGGCAAAAAATGATTTAATAAAAAAAATCTTCAAAATTTTAAGTCCCTCTTGAAACTACAATTAACAACAACACTTGCACTTGCACCAACAGGGAATTTTGTTTACAGAACAAGCAAAATCCGTGGTGCGGCAACGAAGCCGGCAATCTTTGAGCAGACACCAGTTGAGCCGAACAAAAAGATCAATTGAAAAAAATTTACTCAGAGGCGATGCTGAGCTTCGCACCTCTTGCGATACAACCAGATCTATCAAAATGAATGAAGATAGTTGTGAAAAAACATGGATAACTAATAGAATGCAAAATCAGCATCGGAACAAAATTAACCAGGCGGTGATAAAGCCAAAAATACCTTAGCAGAAACTCTTGCAGCTGAACATTTTCAAAATCAAAATTAATTTAAAATGTTTACGGTACGCTTCCACTCATCACACATACAGACAAAAAAATCGCATCAAAAGACGCAAAAAGAGGCTGCTAAGTCAATATAAAACAATACGTAAGCTTTACAAACAAAGCAAGTAAGAAAAGTAGTATTTGTAAGAAAAGTTTTCTACGTGAAAAAGCCTAGTTCCCGATTATGAGATACATGCTCTCGCAAGTGTACTAAAACGTCGGAAGCAACATGCATGTTATCACTGATGTATCCGCAATTTGCAGAGGATCTATGAAATGAAATCAGGCCTTTCTAAGCACAGCCCGTTTGTGTTTTTTCCTTACAATCCAGACTGAGTTATTCTGCTGAGCGAAGCTCTTTTTACCGAATAAAGGCTATTTTTTGCGTCTAGAACTATCATGTAGTACAACTTTTGCAATCGAAATTGGTCACGCTGTGGTAGACCTGAATCTAGAGGTCTAGTGAAAGGTCAGTCTCACAACTATCGTTGGCATGGCATGGGATCGAATACACGATATCACGAACTAAAAGTGAACGCCTTACCACTATGCTTAGTGCCTCATTTGAGTTCTTTGATAGATTTGTTACATGAACATGGTTGTTTTATGACACTCTCTGCACCATCGGTTTTCCAATTATCAAAATTTTGTTATCTAAGTTAAATGTAATGAAAGCTTGTACAAATGCATACCAGTTATATTCGTTCAATTTCGAACGAGTTTAGTATTTGTTCATAACTTATACAGACCTCCGTTAACACCACAAAAAACATCTATACGTGGTGACGGTAACGCTTACGGTAAAGGAGACAAAAATCTTCCCTTCCTACTTCTTTCTTAATTTAGGGAGTCAACAACTATCATGCTTTTCCCTTTTGCAGACGGGACTTTTATCGTCCAGTTACAGTCGATCCGAGCAGGACGGCCCGTATGCATTACTGTAAGGTATGTAGAGCAACTGTTTTGAAGAGAGATCATCATTGCTACTTCTACGGAGTTTGCGTTGGATACTACAACTTAAAGGTAAGTTTTCATACTCAGTCATCGACCATTAAATCATTTGCGAGCGGTGGTAAAATGACGCGCTTTTGCCTCCCTCTCTCTCTGATAGCAAGATTGGTGGTTCCCCACCAAATTCCGCGCTCGTGGCTTGGAAGCGAGTTAACATTTAACAGCCAAAAAATGTCCGAAATTATTAACAAAAATTTCTGTAACACAATATCAGTTCTTTTTTTAAATATTCATGAACTACGTTCGTATTTTACCAGGCAACACGAACTCTGTTTTAGCACTTCATGTTCGTTCCCTACTGGGGTGCCGTTTGCTGTGCTTATTCTCTCTTCGTTTTCTCCATCTACTACCCAATCGCATACAATTTCAATCCCGACACCGTGTACAAGTTTGTCAACCACGTTATGGGGAACATTCTCATGGCTGGTTTGAGACGCAAATCTTTGTATCTGGTAGTCAACATAACCCTTGCTATTTTGGCAACTCTTAACACCATTCTGCTACCTCTCATCACACTCATGTTTCTCTATCTGACAGCTGTCAATCAGACTACGCATGAATACAGCAAAGGCATCAGAAAGTATTCTCGCAGTCTACATCAGAATTTGACTGAAGCTCTTGGACCAAAATACTGGCTACTCCTCTTTTCTCCATGGACTTTTCAGCAGACAGACTACTTTGCAATCCCAACACATCATGTAGATTAATGGGTTTAATTAAAATTTACTAGCAAGCCTGTCTCCAAAAACCAATTAGCTCGCAAAAGTTGTTGAGATCAAGCTAATTAAAAAATGAAACTGAACATAATTAACAAATTAATCCATACCGGGATCAACATTTTCGAAGCCAGCGAATCTCATTCAAGCAATGTAACTTTGAAATGCTTTAAAGCACTTCAGCTTGATTCGGTTCGAACAACTATCTGATCGAACCCCTCAATATATTAAAATGTGTTAACTACCATCTTAAATTGATTCGCTAATAAAATTTTTTTTGAGCAAGCCAGTTAAACGATGAAACTTGAAAATTATTTAAAAAAACAAAAATTTTCTGAGCAGGGCAGCCAAGCCTTGATATTGAAGTTATTCTATAGTGCATCCGCTTAACAAAATAATAGTTTTTCTCAACAAGCAAGGAATTTTAAAAAATTTTGAAGCTATTCTATATCGTGTATTGATCGGCAAAAATTTACATTTTTCTAACCAAGCCAATCAATTGATATAATTTTAGAAAGTTTCAAATTAATTTGAACCTTAAATGTTTCGGAAAAAAAAACTTATTTTTCAAAAGCATAAAATTGCGATGAAGCCATTCAAGCGATGAAACTGTGAAAAGCTTTATAATATTGTATACCCTCATTCGATTTGCATCAAGTCATTTTTTCTGATAAAGCCATTCAAGTGAAGCAAGTTTATTTTTCTAAGCTGGGCACTCAGTTTATCTGAGCTGGCCCTTCAAACAAAAAACTTTCATTTCAAGCAATTTTCGATAGCTTGATGAATGGATGGCTGAAAAGATTAGAGGATGGATGGATGGTTAGATGGTTGGATGACCCGTTGATTGCAAGGCTAGATGGTTTGGCGGCTAGATATATGACTGGCTGGATTGCTAGATGGGTGAATGACTGGTTTGTTGAAAAGCTACATGGGTTGATAAGTCAATATATGAGTAGTTAGAGTTCTAGATGGGTGGATCGTTGGATGGATGAATAGATAGCAGAATTTATAGAGGTCTACACTGAAAGATGGAAGACTGGTTGACTGGATGGATGGATTGAACGGAGGACGGACAGATAAAAGGCAGGATGGATTGATGGATTGCTGCATTGATCGAAAGCTAGATGAATGGATCGCTGCTCGGATGGACGAATGGCAAGATGAATGGATGGCTGACTGGATTGATCAATGAACGGCGAGATGTATGGTGACTTGATAAATGTATGAAAGGCTGGTTGGATGGATGCAAGGAAGCAGGAAGCATCGAGAGAGGCTAGACAGGCGAAGGGGAGATGGATGCATGGATAGCAGGATACATGAACGAATTGATGACAAGATGGCAGGTTGAATGGCTGACGGGTTGGAGTGGTGGATTGCTTGACTTGTGACTGAGTTGATGGATGACTGGTTGGATCAATGGCTGGTTCCGCGGATGATTGGTTGGTTGGATGGCTAAATAGAAGGCTGGCTGGATAGATGGCTGGCTAGATGAATGGAGAGAAGGCTGGTTGGATGCACGATTGCTTGGTTGGACGAATGGATAGATAACTGGTTGGATGGCCAGATAGGTGGATGAATGCAAGAAGGGATGGCTAAATGAATGAATCGCATGATGACCGCTAGATGGATGACTGGACAGATGACTGCATGGCTTCCTGAGTACATGGCTAGATTGTTTTTCCGATTAATGAGTGATTGGCTTGATGGCGTGATGCCTGGTTGGATAAATTGATCGCTAGATCGCTTGTAAGATGAGTGGTGTGATGGATGGATGGCTAGATAGCTGGAAAGTTTGATGAATAGATGGCTAGATGCATGAGCCGATCAATGAACAAATGGCCGGATGGTTGCGTGGATCGCTTAATGAATAAAAGGCTTGGTCGATGGGTTTATGGCTTGATGGATGGATTGCTAGTTGGGAGGATAGCTAAAGGTAGGGTTGGCTGGTTGGATGTATGGATGGCTGACTGGATCTGAGACCACTGAAAAAATCTAAACAGTCAAACTTAGAGACCACATCTGCAACTTCTGTGACTGACTTCACATAACACTGCCAAAAAAGAACAAAAACTAATTGAGCTTTTCATGTTTTCATTCTAATTAAAAACGTCAAATATCGACAACTGAAAAAAAACTAAGCAACCATTGTATAAAAGCCAGATCTGCAACTGGTGTGCTTAGCCTGATATTGCATCATCAAAAGTTGGACTTCTTCAATTTTTGAGAACTTTTTCAATAATTGAAATAGTCAACTTTTTAGTTTTGAAAAACCATTAAAAAAAGCCATATCTAGGACCATTAAAACAATGAGCAGTCAGTTTCAAGGGCAAAACTTGCGCCCCTCTGAGAGTATCCTTACAGTGCCAGATAAAGGGCTCAGAAATTCAAATTTTGTCAAGTGTTTTGAATCTAAGATTTTAAACAATTGAAAAAAAAACAAGTCATATCTTGATAACTAAAAGAATTTAATCAAGCAATTATGGAGACAAGATTTGCAACCCTTGAGAGAACTCTGACAAATCCCCACTATAAGCTCGGGATTTTCAACTTTTGCTATGTGTTTGAAATCTAAGATTTGAAAAAATTCAGCAAAAAAACGTAAAAAACGGCATTTCTCGGTAACTAAAAAATAGGGTTTTCTTAATAGGCCAATTTCGCATCCTCTGAGACAATAATGAAGCACCCTACCATAAGATAATTAACTGCAATTTTGCTTAAATAAAAATCACCCGTTGCATCATGTACAGATGGATTAATTTAACCTTTACATTACACTACCTTTCCCTGCCCTCCTCCTCACCTCCCAAGCCGGCGTCATTGCTATAGCCTAACAATTGGGCCTTTCAATATGCCTAGCGTTCTTGAACAGGAAAATCGAAAAAATATACATTATGCATTGTAATATACGATATAGCTTAAACGTGCAAAAATTAAAAAGCTTTATTGATAGATGAATTTCAACCAGTTAAGTTCCAAAAAAGTGGCTTTAAACGTGAATGCATCAGCAAGTTAAAATAGAAAAAAAGTTAGAACAGCAAAAATAATGAGAAGCGCAAACACCTAGTTCAAAAAATTGCATCAAATGTTAGACTTTCAGTCAGAAAGTACGTCTATATGTCACCAAAAATGATTGGTCTTTTTCATAATTTTGTCTTTAACACTCGGTCTATATAACGCTTATTAGCGTGTTGCAAACAGTTGGAAGAGACAGAACTAATTAAAAAGAACAAATGACCTATTTCGGACAACTTTTGCTTGCAAGGGCAAAATTTTCAGACAAAATTGGTCTAAAAATCAAATTTGCATGCAAAAATTGCTCAAAATTCGCATATTGCTGCTTTTATTTAATTTTTCTTCTGTCCGAACTTTTTGCAATTTATTAAAAAGTTGGTGCCGAATTGTTGGCGATATCCTTTTCGGTCAACGAATCTAAACGGCGTTACTTAACCTACATTTGCGCATTTCGACGTCGGAATCAATTTTCTAACTGAATTAACTTTATTAACTGAAAAAGTATATTTAATTTCAATTTTTGGACCGATTAAATTGCTCAAGGTCACCGATATTGCCATCAATAAGACACTACCTTAATAGCTCTTGGTTAATCGAACGCTGTGAAAACCTTAAGTAAGTGTTTATTTAGTTGATTAGGTTTTCAGTGTTAGATTCACCAAGAGCTGTTAAGATAGGGTCAAATTGGTTGCAATATTGGTCACCTTGAGCAATTTAATCATTCCAAAAATTGAAGTTAATTAGTTGTTTTCATATTCGCGTTCTTTAGCTTAGTTTAAATGGACATTCTTGCTATAAAAAAACTCCGACTGCGATTCGAGTGTGGATTCAGTCCACATGAGATAGGCAGAAAAGAAGAACTTCTCGCAACTTTGGAAATTTCCACTTGCGTCAAAGCTGCTGCTCGAAATGACGACTTGGATGAAAGCGTCGATTTAGAGAAACTTACCACAACTGTTATCTCCGATTTCGAAGGCTCGAACTTCAACCTTATCGAAACAGCCGCTAATCGCATGGCATTTTTGTGCTTAACCTTCTCAAGGAGAATAAAATCTGTGAAAGTGTTACTAGAGAAACCAGGAGCTAATAGGTTTGCGCAACAATGGTCAATTACCATTTCAAGATGTCTAGAAGATTATCCAATCCGTCAACTAGCAATTTCGACCGGATCGAATAAAAATGCTAAATTTAATATTCAATCAGCCATTAAAAAAATCGACCAATTTTTTGACTCAATTGAAAAAATTTCCAAATATTATGTGACCAAAAGCATTGGCAAACATGGAGAAATCGACCCGAATAAAGAAGATTTCATCAACGCATGCTGTTTGATCACAACACGAATGGATAAGTTCATGGCTAAAAGTCAGCTCCGAAAAATTGAGGCGACGCTTGGTCGCATTCGAGATCCAAATGATAAATTTGCAGCCTGTGAAATTGATTTAGATATTACGTTTGAGGGAAAAATTGGCAAAGATTTTTCGGAAAACGCATTTCTGGACGTACACGAGGTGAAAAATTTTGCCCATGTTATTGTGCCACTGAGTGACGTCATGCCCGATTTGTACGACTACCAGTTGCGAGATACCATCCTTGGGGCTGCGCAGAAGAAAACGGGCTTGACTAACCCAAGCGACTACTTCGAAACATGTGAAATTTAGCGTTGTGATACTATGGTCCTACCAATCTATAAGACATCTTGAAAAAATCATGTTAAATTTTTTTGAAAGAGCGCGCGTGTGTGTTTAAATAGTTAGAAAATAAATGGAAAAAATTTGAAAATACACCAAAAATTAAGTAGAAGAAAACAATATGATCATATTAACTAACAGAACAGAGACTGTGAACAATATATTGATAATTTGAAAAACAAAATTTTTGAACCATCGTAAGACAGAATCCAAGCACCAGTAAAAGAAGCACAAAATCTAACATAGCCAATAAAAAGTTGGAAAAGTGTCATCTTTGTATTAGATGATTTTCTTTATGAGCCTTCATAGGCATTGGAAATCCTTTACCAAGCAGCAAATAAGAAAAAAATTGGGTCAACCGTTGACCTGGAAACAAAAATGTTTTCAGCGTTTTTTTACCCCATCCAAGCTGAAACATATAAAATCAAAAGTTATGCCCTCGGAACTATGCAATATAAGTTGAAGCAGCTGATATAACATGCTGAAACCATTCAAGAAAAAACGAGAAGAAACATTCAAATTCAAAAACTTTCCATTAAAGTTCAATTGTTGAATCAAAATAAAACCCATGCTTTGGAAAATAGGTCAATAAGAAACCATACCAGATAATATAAATAGCATTTTAAAAGAGTGAAAATTAACCGACGAAAAAGGACAAAAGCCACGAATTCAAAAAATTCAATAATTTTTAAAACTTAACTAGCGCAGGAATCACATCTACGGTGCTTCAACTAGATCGCTGAACGTAAAAGGAGCTTCCGAAAACATGTACCAAAACAGCGATATTTAAGGCAATCTTGAAGATAATTTGGGCTCATCTATCAAAGGGTTTCTTATTTATAAAAATGCCATATCTCGATACCAAAATGATTTGAGCAGATAAAATTAGAAGGCAGATTTGCAACCCTTTATTTTACTCAACAGCATCTCACAGTAGTGTTGAGAATTTCACCTACTAATAGTTGTTTTCAAATCTAAGTTTTTTGAAAAAGTATTTAAAAAATCATGAGAAACGCCATATCTGGGAAAAACGATTTCAACAGTAAAAGTTAGGCCAAATTTGTACCCTGACAGTGCCCACTGAATAACTCTGACAGAACCCCACCGTTAGGGTTGAGAATTTCAAATCGGTTAGTTTTTTAATTCAAACTTTTTAAATTCAAGTTTGACTATTCCGAGGGCCAAAATTTTTTATTTGAAATTTAGGGCGTAGCCGCTCATGGAGGAAAACTTTTCAAGTCTGTTCTATTTATTTAAACCAAAATCTCACATTTGGTAGGTTAGTGAAAAAAAAAATCAACTAAGTATCGTTCAACTATTCACCCCCAAACTTTTTCGTTGGGTGTAGACAAAGGTGTAAAGCAAAAAGGGACCAGGGGAGTATGCACGCACAAAATAATTTAGGCGGCCTTTCTATGGATACCCTTTTTTTGAAAATCGAAAAAAAATTCCAAAGAAAATCTCAAAAAAAATCCAATCCCATACACTTTCATAATACCCGTTTTTATCAAACAGGAACTCTAGGCAAGCATGCCAGCCAAGAAACTTGAATTCAAATCGCAACTAAAAAAAATTACGAAGCGGAAACAAGGTCGACAATATTTAAGCAGACACCAGTTGAGCCGAAAAAAAAACTGATTTTGTAAACAATTTTATTTAAGTTTGCAGTCCCCAGTGAAACTACTCTGTACCTTTGTTTGACACGAGTATTGTTCAAACTTTCATACCTCGCGAGGGTTCAAATGCATTTTGGGCATATCCGTTGTCTTAATACAACATGAGGTTATCAAATCAAACAGAAGCATTTGCAGTTGGCAAAATTCATGACTTAGACAAACTACCTTTCTGAACATCGCCGCAAATCTGAATGGAGCCGCTTCAATGGGACTGGCGAAAGCAGCATATGATTTCGAGTAGAAATCGATCAAAGCGTCGTAAAAAATTGATAGAAAAAAACAGTCCCATACACGTTCATAATACCTGTTTTCATCAAACAGGAATTCTGGGCAAAAAGTTTCAAGCCTCCAGTCAAACTACCCGGTAGTAACTAGTACATACCCAGTAGACAAATTTGAATTTTCATGAAATTGAGCATGTCAGCTGCATAGTGATTAACCAGATTTTGTTAAACTAGTTGTTAACCCAAAAAAATCTACATTCCGATTTGCTAACGCTTGCTAATCACAGGCGTAATAAGCGTTCTGATCTAAGCCTTCTTAAACGTTGTGCTCAATAGAAAAAGTTGCGTCCAAAGCGCATTAAAACTTTCATGTAAAACATAAGATTTAACAGGTGCACAGAAGGATCCTACTACAATGATTTGGGCGCAGTTTTTTTGTAAACCTCCGATTTTTTTAAGAGGGCGAGAGAGAGGTCATAATAACTCAAAAATCACAAAAACATTTCTTGGTGCTTGCCAAAACTGACTAAAAAAACGTCTACGTCTTTATTCTATCCCACCCCTCTAGAAGAATGGTCGAAGACTGATCTTGTCGCATATGCCATAGCAATCAATGAAACGAAAAAAGTAATTATCTCATATTTTGATAGAAAGCTAAAAAAGTGAAATCAACAAAATCAAATATACTTTTCATGCTTGTCATGAATTAATTCCTGTTAAGAACAACATGGCAACTAGGACAATTGAATGTTGAATAAGCATCGCAATAAAGTTTTACGAAAGAGTATGGCCAACAATGTAGCCGAGAACTGCAGATGACTAAAATTTCAGTCATCCTGCGAACAAAATTGTGTACGAGAAAAAAAGACTAGTACCCGGTTGCACGGGTAAACACCTTTTGTTAGGAGCATGCCGAGGGCGTTAGTAGAAGGGCGACTACCTCAATTCTGATTGCCGACATCTCATAAGTAAATAGGGTTTCCTGGGTTGTAACCACCAATGTGTTGAAAAAATAAATGGCCTCAAAACTTTGTTCATACAAATTCGTAGTAAATAGGGAGTCCCATTAAGTTCCCCGTCTGATTGCATATTTGCAACGTTTCCGTTCAATTGGATGCTCTGTGACAGGATTAGCAAAATTACTCTTTTCAATTTAAAGCTTTTAAATATTTAGCTACGAAAATATCTATTAAGGTATTCTGCCTACCAAAAAGCGCAAGTGTTGGGTTGTGTGCCGCACTCTCGTATCCTGTAAGATCTACAAAAACCTGCTTCAAAATCTGTAAATTATCGGCAACTTAACAGATAATATGAAGAGTAAGTAATATATGACAACAATCAGTTTAACATTTTCGGTTAGCATTTTAGCAATACGGTTTCCAACAATCTCAAAAATCTATAAACATTTTGATGGCAAACTGACCTTAATCGGACAAACCAGCAGTTTTCAAGGCCTGTGGTCTAAGCAAATCTAATTTTAGCTTTTTCACTTTCGCGCTATAATGACGTCATTAATTTAAGCGCGAACATCTTCCGCGCCCAAAGGAGCAAAAACGGGTGCGAGTTTTACGGCCGGTCGAGTTAGCTCCCCGGAGCGGGTGGTAACTACGGCGGATCGGGCTATGTTGTCTTTTCCGTAATTAAGGGTTTTTATGCGAGCCAGAGGGTAGTGTCCCCTTGGGTTGCGTTCGTCAACAATCCACACTAAATCCCCTGTTTTTAAAATAACGTCACTATCGGAGTGCCACTTACTGCGTTTATTCAGCGCTGGCACATAATCTCGCAGCCAACGACTCCAAATTGCGTTGGCGTAGCTTTGCGCTCGGATATATTGCTTTCGATGGTCGAAGTGCTCCTGGAAAGAGAGAGAAGGAAAGCTAGTACCATTTCGGCCTAACAAAAAATGATTAGGAGTTAACACCTCGAAACCATCCGGACTTGCACTTACTGATGTTATAGGTCGAGCGTTCAGTGATTGTTCTACAAGACAGAAAGTTGTTTCAAGGACTTCGGGAGTGAGCTTTCTACTTCCTATTATTGCGTAGAATACCCTTTTACAACACCGAACGAGACGTTCCCAAGAACCACCGTGATGCGGGGCTGCCGGGGGGTTAAATTTCCACTTAATACCCTTTTTCGCCAGCTCTGGGGGTGCTTGATCGTTCCACGACTGAATACAATTTAAGAGTTCTTTCTCGGCTCCCACAAAATTGGTGCCGTTATCAGACCAAATGACTGATGGAGTTCCGCGACGGGCAATGAATCTTTCGATTCCCATTACACACGAACTCGTGTCCATGGATGAGACAATCTCAGTATGTACAGCTCTGGTGGTCATACATGTAAAAAGGAAGCACCATCGTTTTTCAGAACTCCTCCTGATTGAGACGTAAAAGGGTCCAAAGTAATCAACACCACAGTTTGTGAAGGGAGGCTGGCGGTAACCAAGCCTTTCAACTGGAAGCTCTGCCATCATAGGTGTGACAGTTTTGGCTTTGCGCTTCCTACATATAAGGCAGTGGACTTCAATGGACGTCAATAAAGAGCGAAGGTTCAAGATTGCGAACTCTAAGTGAATTACAGCTCGCAGGTAGTCTAAGAACTGGTGCTGATAGCGATAATGAATATCACTTACGAACAATTTCACCAAAGAATACCTTCCATCAAGGATTATGGGGTGTTTTGTGTCATATTCAGTTTCAACTAGGCGGCGAATTCGCCCAGTTGAACGAATGAGGAATGCAGGACCCATAAACGGTGCATACTGTGCAATTCGACTAGACTTTTTGACGGTTTTGTTGCAGGACAGGAGTAAATATTCCGCTTCAAAAGATTCCTTTTGGGAAATCAACAAAAGTCGTTGTTTGGCGGTTTCTAATTCAACCGGATCGGTTATTTCCTTGACTTTAGTGCGGTAGTGCCGTTGTTTCGGACTAAGTCTGAGCATGAAGGCAACCACTCGCTGGAGTTTACGAAACGAGCTGAACTTTTGCCATGCAAATAAAATGGGTTGTTTTTGTTTTTGTGCAACGTTTGAAAAATTAGAGGCCTGCTGTAAACCTTCATTAAGGTCACAAGCGGGACCAGCCAGGCGGATTTTCTTAAGTATTTCTATGCTCGGCTTGAAAGGCCACTCGCCACTTTTCAGCAGACTTGGCCCGTTCACCCAGCTGCTTGTTTTTAAGGACTCCGCTGAGATTCCTCTGGTTCCCGTATCAGCAGGGTTGTCTCCACTTAAGACATGAAACCACTGATCTACGGTCGTACTTTCTAGAATCTCTCCAATCCGGTTTGCCACGAACGTGGGTTGCTTACTACCTGAGTTTAACCACTGGAGCACAGTGGTGCTGTCAGTCCACATGAACGTGTTTGACACAGGAATGGTTAGAGCTTTGGGGACATCTTCCTTCAAGCGGGTAGCGAGTAACGCGGCCTGCAGTTCAAGCTTTGGGATGGAAAGCGCTTTCATGGGCGCCACTCTTGCTTTTCCAAAGACGAAGGCAACTTGTGTTTCGAGTGAAGTTTTCACACGGGCGCGAAGAAAAGCTACAGCACAAAAAACTTCTTCTGAGCTGTCACCGAACATGTTTAACTCAACCCAATCGACTGGTGCGGAGAGGTAGCTGCGCTTTATACTCATTTTCCCTAGAGATGGCAAACCAGAGTGCCAGGCAAGAAATTTTGTCTTGATATCAACGGGTAGCTGATCATCCCATTGTTGACCATGAATGCCCCAGATTTCTTTCAATAATCGGGCTCTTACGGTATAGGGCGCTACGAGACCTATGGGGTCGAAAACGGAAGAAACAAAACTTAACACTGTTCGCTGTGTTATCGAATTTTTAAGTTCACGGTTGACACCACGCCTTACGACCAAAGTATCGTCAATATGGTCCCACTTCAGACCAAGAACATGAGAAGAATTATCCCCACAAGTTACAATATTTTTACTTTCCTGTTGCGGCGCGCTTTGGGGCGGGTTTAACTCTTTATTAATTTTAGTTACGTTACTTATGAATTTAGGTAATTTAAAACCACCTAGAGCTAACAGAGTAATCAACTCTTGACTCATTTTAAATGCAACATCAGGGTCCTCAAAGGAGTCAAGGTAGTCGTCCATATAAAATTTCTCTAGAACTGCGGATGCTGCGTCAGGGAACATCGCCTGATTATCCATTGCAGTCCGTTGCAATGCATAATTTGCACACGTTGGCGAATCTCTCGCTCCAAAGATATGTCTGGTGTACTGGTGTACAACCACATCGGCTGTGGGGTCCTCCCGCCACAGAAAACGAAGAGATGGTTGGTCCTCTGGAAGGACGCCGACTTGTAGGAACATCCCTTCAATGTCAGCCGATACGGCAAAATGATGTTGTCGAAAACGGAGGAGAACGAACACAAGGTTTTGCAGTAGGTCGGGTCCTACTAGCAACGATTTGTTCAATGACGTACCGTGGAATTTAGACGCTCCGTTAAGGACACGCCTCACTTTACCAGGTTTGTTTGGGTTCACCACGGGATGGTGAGGAAGATAACACTCGCGTATGCTGCGGTTCGAAAAATTATGGGGAGAAACTTGAATCACGTATCCTTTACTCAAATCATCTTCGATAGTTTTTGAGTATTGATCCCTTAAGTGAGGATCTTTCGCTAAACGTTTTTCCAACGATTTTAACTGAACCAAAGAGGAATAGTAATTATCTGGTAACATGATAGATTCTTCTGCCCAAAGCATACCTACAGCGTATCTTGATCCATCGTGGACGGTGGAGGAATCAAGTATTTTAGCCGCCCTTTTGTCTTCGGCTGAACGAGAATCGACCTGTTTGTAGGCTCCGTATGACTCTATTTCATACCAGCGTTTGATTTGACAAGCTAGTTCGGTATCATCCGTATTGCACTTGAAACAAGTAGAAAGGAAACCAATAGATGTCGGCATTGGGCCGCTCAAGACCCAGCCTATTGGAAGGCGAACCGCGACGGGCGATGTGTTTGGATCGGCCTCACTCTTGAAATACTCCTCAGGCCGAATAGCATGGAAGGAGTCTTGACCAATTATTAAGTCTACATCGGCGTAGCTATACACAATTGGTTTGATTGGAGCAAGGTACGGATACTTGCTCTGTAATGCAGGGATGTTGACGGTATCGGTACCGCCTTTAAGTTCATCCTTGACAAATGCGGTTAATTCGAATATGTATTCGAATCCATCGAAGTTAGAAGATACCTTCATCTGAACTTGTTTCGTTTTAACAACAGTCGTTGTGTTAATACCATTTACTGTGAGATCCAAATATCTTCCTGAGAGATTCAGACAATTGACTAATTTAGCCGATATCCAGGAATGACTAGATGCTGAGTCACACAATGTTAAACAATCAGCACTCTGGAAATCGGTGGAGACTTGGAGCTTGATTATGGGCAGTAACCCTTTCGATGTTATGATTGATGATTGGTCGTTCGAGATTGCGCAGCTTACATCCAACGGAACGGGATTAATGTCTGCATGATTCGAACTTGCGTTTGGCATATTCTTGCTGGATGATTTTCGATCAGCGTTTGTGCTCGCTTTATCCGGCTCTGCATTAGATCTTGGTTGACCAGCGTTGGGTCTTGTATGGCTATCATTTTTGTCCGGATTTCGACTAGGAAAAACACGTTCAGCCCCATGGAGAAGTACATTATGGGTGCTAGTGCAACCTGGTTTGGTGCATTTCTTTGCTCTGGGGCATTGCCGGAATGCGTGGTTCCCTTGTAAGCAGGAGAAGCACAATTTGTTTTCCGCAGAGAATTTCGCACGTTGTGTTGGAGTTTTCTCCTTAAACACAGAACACTTCCACAAGGCATGTTTCCCCTTGCAGAGGATACAAGAAGGATATTCAAACTTTTTCTCAACTGTACTTGTCGAGGCAAAAACTCTCGTTACAGCTTTAGTTTTGGATGGCTCTTCGACTTTGGGCTTTCCAGGCATATTTTTCGTTTGCTCATGAGCTTCTGCTTTATCTTTTAACCAATTGTTGAAGTCAATTAGGTTGGGGCGTGACCAATTACGTTTCACGACAAAAAGTGACCACGATTCTCTCATGTTTGGTGGGATTTTCGAAAGAGCTTGATTTAACAAAGAGACGCTTTTCAAATCTTCTTCATAATCAAGAGAGCTAAAGACAGCCACTAGACTTGAAATGGTCATCGAGAAGCTAATGATGTTCTCAGGGTTGTGCATTCAAAGCTGCGGGAAACTGGACAACTTATCAAGGTGGGCCGTAATTACGTTTTGTGGCTGGCCAAACTTTCTTTCTAGAGTTTTCAGAGCATCTTTATACATTCTTCCACTGTATGCGAACTCTGCTATGGCTGACTTAGCTTTTCCCGTGACTAATGTTTTTAAATAAGTCAACTTCACATCATCGCTTAGGGACGCTGCGTCTACAGTACTGCAAAATTGGCCAAACCATTCGTGCCATTGGAGCGGGTTGCCATCCTACTGGGCCAGCTTCCATTCTGGAAGGGGATCCTTCTTTGAGACTGAAAGAGCTTGGACTAAGTCATTCAGTGTCACGGCTTGCGGTTGGGGAACTGGTTGCAACGACGGCAATGTGTTGCTAGGATCAGCTGCAAAAGGTTGCTGCTGATATATGTAAGTGTTTTCAGCCGATGCGTCGTGATTGGGAAACCCATAGTAAACGGTACCACCACTTGATACGTGGGGGAATTGTTGCAGAGATATTGGCGTTACGGATGAAAAAACACCAACTGATGGGTTTGTGTTACCATCACTTGTTACTTCAGTGATACATTGGGTGACTGCGGGTGTCCACTGTGACATTAGTGGCAAGTTGGGCTGACTAATAACGGCAGACTGTCCGCTAAACGGATTGTTCACTGACGCAGGGTTGCTATACACGTTATGTGATAGCAAGTTTTGATTTCTGCAGATTAAATTTGCAGGTGGTTGTGACACAATGGCATGGGGGATGTATCCAGAGTATTGATTGGAGATGGCGGGCATGTTTCCAACAACTCGGGAATCGTTATTGAAGTTGTTGACGGGGATATGTTGAATGGAAGACGAAGGATGAGGTACAGAGAAGTAATAGCATACCGGAGTATTGGTAGCTGCTGTTCCAGCTGGATTAAAAAATGATGATGTATTGTTTTCGCAAAGTGTAGCGTTATTGGAAATAAGCAACGACTGCGTTTCGTGCTCAGGATTAGTGGATACAGCGTGCTTGATTCCATCGCCATCGCTGAAGGAGACGGTTGGTTGATAGGGATAACATTGTTGATCACAATCAAAAGTCCGATTCGGCAACGATCGCCGAAGTGAGGCTTCCGCTGTGGACACATTTCTGTGTTGATGCGAACCACTTTCTATATTTATACAGTTTTCAAACTTTGAAGAAGACGGAACTACCTTGGGTCCTTTTTGGTTTTCTAATGCATGATCAACCCAATCGTTTACCCTGTCAGAACGACGATCAACCGAAGACGCCAGCTCGAGATGCTGATCTATTTCAGACTCTTTGAGGTATTCAGTTTCAACCATTTTTGCTTCAGCTACTTTAATACGATTTTCTTCGCTTAATCGTTCCATTTCAAGCCGACTTTTTTCGATTCGTAAACGATGTTCTTGCTCTTTACGGTCAATTTCAAATTTAATTTCTTGTTGTTTTCGTTCCATCTCAATCAAATGCTGTTGCTCTTCGATGATGGCTTCCTGTTGTTTCAGTCTTAAGGTTGCTTCATGTTGTTTTTCCAACTCTTCTCGCTTCATCTTCGCTAGGAGCAGCTCTTTGCGGCGCTCACTGGGAGTCAATGATTTCATTGAACTTTGCTTACTCGACCCGGATTTTGCCGATTTTGATGAAACTTTTGATCGACTAGTTTCACTGACGCAAACCTCTGAAGCTTGATTAGATTCCATATGAGCGCGAGCCTTACCAGTTACTTCATCGTTAACTTTAACTATCCTATCCCACCATGCAGCCAACTCCGTTAATAATTTGCTATGGTTATCGGTTTTATTAGCTAATATCACAAGTTCATCATTTTTAGCTAATGCTTTTTCGAGAATACTCTTGCAAGATTCAATTAAGGCGTTTATTTTTGTTTTCCGAATTGGTCCCTCTAAACTCTCAGTTATGCGACTGTGAACTACGGAAAGCTCATTTTCTAGTGATGTTCGACCATTCATCAATCGTCGATATTTTAACTCAATTTGTTCTGTCATTTTGATTACTTTTAAACTTGTTCACTTCTACTCAACCGCTCAACTGCTCAGTTTGAGAGAAAAAAAAAGGGAATAATTAATTTAAGACCTTATATTTAGTATTAATAAATTATATTCTGACTCATTAAACAATATCACACCTTAGAGAAGCAATTTATTTAACTCCTAGAGCTGCTCAGCATTTCTTCTGTTTCGATTAGCTTGCCGCTTGCGTTTTCCTGGCTTAGGAGTATTTTTCTTTGAAATAATATACTTCAAATTCTTGCTATAACGCCTAAGGATCGTAAACGTTTTCAGTTCTAGAGAGGGATCCTGGTGTAGTTCTAAGTACTTTTGCCCTAACTCCGTGAGGTTCTGCTTCCTTCTAGATATCAGGTCTGTTACTATATTAATAACTAATATACCTGACTCTTTCAACTTACTATATATATCTTCCGTGCCTACACGTTTACAGTAAACGATTGCATAAATATTACGTTTATAGTTTAAAAGAACCTTCTTAAGCTGGTTAGGAGTTAGTGCGTTTAAGTTATTACTACGGTGTCGACTAATAGAGTTATTAACAGCGTCGTGCCAAATAACAATGTCAGTTCGGTTTAAGAGATAGTGATCAAGTTGATACTGACAAGTTTTACGGACGTTCACTGCGTTATGGTTGAAACTTAACCCGGGAATGGCTAAGCACGATTGAGATACACGCTTTTGCGAAGCGGGGGAAAGTTTTTTCAAAGCGTGGTGCAGCGAGCTAGCAGCTAGTATGAACATTTAGTGATTTAAATCAACTTAAGAGGGAGGGAATCAAGCAAACCGCGACCTGACCTCCCGCAACACCCTGAGCTAACAAGGTTGTAGCAAAAGGTAAGACGATTTGCTTAATAATACGCTACGGGTCTCGACTACGGCTACTTTTATCCAATTGAACTAGTTCAGTTAGCTGCACCACGTTTCAAGAATAAACACGGCGTTTTTTCAGAATTTTTTTTTTCGAAAATTTCGGATTTTTTCCGAAAATTTTCCAAAAATTTTTTTTTTTTTTCGAATTTTTTTTCCGAAAATTTTTTCCACGTTTTCACCCAACGGTTCAAGTTCCAACAATAACCTGATGCGTTTGCGAAATTTTGAATTTTTTTTTTTTTAAGTCCAAAACTTGGGGCAAAAAACTCGACTCGGTCGTTTAAATTAAATTATTATGAAACTAGGCGCTTTGCAAATTATTATGAAACTAGGCGGTGTTGAGCTTACAAACAAGGTGTTAGGATAACGTAATTAAGGTTTATGAGGCCGGTTTTTTCCTAAACCCACAGAAAATTTTCTGATCAGGTTTTGGTATCGAGAAAAATTGGGGGCTACGATTTTGCCATCAAAAAACCTCGTATCAGAATTTAAAGCATCAGATCAGCAAGTTAGCACAAATGGATAAAGTTTTGGTTTTTTAGTCTTACAAGTTTTGTAGAGGCGTTCACCGGTAGAATCCAAATTCCACAGAAACTTCGGGTGTCGAGAAAAAATGGGTGTCCACAGTCCACACTCCAATATGGATGTCCACAAAAAATGATGTCCACAATCAGGATACCTGAAAAGGCCTCCGTTCGAAAATTCTAAAAACCCAACTTCTACTTTTGACTTCTGTGTCCGGGTCGTTGGCAACCCGAAAAAATACTGACTTCTGTGTCCGGGTCGGTTGAATATCAGGCCTCTCTGGACTATCGTCCGGAATATATAATGTCCGGTTCGATTGGAACTTCAGGCCTCTCTGGAATATCGTCCGGAATATCTAATGTCCGGTTCGGCTGGAGTTTCAGGCCTCTCTGGAATATCGTCCGGAATATCTAACGTCCGGTTCGGTTGGAATTTCAGGCCTCTCTGGAATATCGTCCGGAATATCGTGTCCGGGTCGGCGGACCAAAATGTGCCGCACTCTCGTATCCTGTAAGATCTACAAAAACCTGCTTCAAAATCTGTAAATTATCGGCAACTTAACAGATAATATGAAGAGTAAGTAATATATGACAACAATCAGTTTAACATTTTCGGTTAGCATTTTAGCAATACGGTTTCCAACAATCTCAAAAATCTATAAACATTTTGATGGCAAACTGACCTTAATCGGACAAACCAGTAGTTTTCAAGGCCTGTGGTCTCAGCAAATCTAATTTTAGCTTTTTCACTTTCGCGCTATAATGACGTCATTAATTTAAGCGCGAACAGGTTGAACCTTTCAAAAAATGTCTAAAAACTTAAATTATATCAAAAACTGCATACAGCTTTGAAAATTCTGCCAACTGGGGTTATTCTGGGGTTATTCGCAAAAAAATGAAGCGGCTGACCTACAAAAAGATCAACGAACATTTGAGAAAAACGCCGGCCTTTCAAATACACTCCTGCGCATGCCACTGCAACTTGTATTGGCCACCAGCCCGTCAACACCCGTCCCCACACTATCCAAAGCTAATCCCAACATCTAGACGAAGTGCAAGAGAGTGGTCGGTTACTTTCTACCTTTTTCGTAAAACTGCAAGATAAAAACTTTTCTTTAAAAAGTTCAAAACCTAATTGGTACTGTAGTAGCAGTTGTAGTAGTAGTACAATAGGCTTCAGTGCAAAAGCTCTAGGGAGTTTCACCCATTTTCTGCTGAGTTTGTTATTTATAATGCAGTTTCCACATCCACAAAAGAGTTTCTATGTGCATTTGTTGGCTTCCCTGTACCTTTTCTTGTAAATATTCTAGTAGAAATTAGTCGAGGCTCCTTTGTTTAGTCTGACATTAAACATGGGGGAGAGGTCCGAATAAGACAGTTGTAGAGTTGTTTAGTTCACCTGAAAAAATTATTGTCTATTTTTTTTGTAATCTGCTTTTTGATATTAGAAACTGGTCCCTGAAAGATTGTCGAGTGATGCCGTAGCATTCAGATGTTTTTAGATCTAGCTTTACCTCGTATATTTGCCCTAAAAATGATCCATGCCTTGAATGCGTCATTTAATATTGGTACATGTACCGCATAGCGTTTAACTTGGTTGTAGAACTGCATATTGCTTTGTGAAGCTTTGTTTGATTTGATTTTGAATTAAAGCGCCAATGCCTTTGGTTGTTCGACGCGTGCAACTTTCATTACACGTAAACTGACTGGATATAATGAGTCCCAGGTAAAGCTGGGAGTTTACTGAGGCAAGAGTTAAGTTCATTGGAGCTGCTTTCAGATCACCTTTGATGTTGGGGAGAGCTGATTTTTTAATGTTTAGTTGCATTTTATTAGATTTTAGCCACTTGTCATTTTTAACTGTTGTATTGTTAAATGTTTGTTGATTAAGTAAAATTGCTTTCAAGTCGTCAGCATAGCCAAAGCTGTTTATGTCTTCGAGAGTTTCTGGGAGATCGTTGATGAACAGCAATGTCCTAATATTAAACCTTGTGGAACTCCACTAGTGACTTCTCTCAGAGTGTTTTCAATCTTTACGCATTGCTTCCTCTTAGTTAGGCGTGACTGTAACATCGACATATTTTCAACTCCGTTGCTAAAATTTTTCATCTTGTTGATTAGAATGTCATGAGGTACATCATATTGATAAACTGTAAAATGATACGGTCCTTTTTTTTAACGAAAACCATGTTGATTTATGTAATTAACTTTCACTCTACAATAGAGTTTGCCAAATATGACAAGTTCAAACACTTTTGAACAGTAGTATAGAGACCGATTGGTCTATAAAAACTGAAATTATAGAATGTTTCCTTCCTTGAAAATTGGGATTACTAGGCTAATCTTCCATATTTCTGGAAAAATACCTTTGTTTAGTCATTTTTGAACAACTAGGATGAATGATTTGCTCAAGGTTTTGGGCTATGACCTAAGGATGCCATTTCCAATTTTGGCACGTCCCATGGACATTTAATTTCTTTAACAATTCGCTTACCTGAACTTGAGCGACTAAGAATTTATTCAGCTCGTTTGGTACAAACTTGATTTCTAGTTGGCTTTAACTTGTGCCGAAGACTCCGCCGAAAAAGTTAATGAACAGTACACATTTTTCGTTTTCGTTGATTGACTCAACATTTCCGTTTTTGACTTCAAATGTTACTTTTGGTATTTTTCGTATGCACTTGAGATATATATGGATTTTACTCAAAGAACTTCCTTCGAAGACTGATTTTTCGAATTCGAATAAGTCATCTTCAGATGATTTTTGTATTTGTTGGTTGTTTGAAGGTATAAGTGGCATAAATTCAATCTTTCGTTCATTTTACCACCTTAAAAAATAAATTGAAACAGCAAAGTCAACTAAATTGCGTTAAAAATAGTATTTTAGCAACAATCCAACAAATTCAACGAAGGAAAAAATGAAACAAAACGAGAACAATTTTTTTATCTTCTGAAAACGGATTAAACTTTATTTCAGGTGACACTGAAAAAAAAGGTTGAAAATTTTCGAAAAAAACTTGCAAAATAGCTGTCTAGCAGCTGAATTTATGAAGTAGAATTGATAGTAAACCTTGAAATAACTAAAAATAGAAAATAAGCGTCGATTTTCATAATTTCACCTTACACTTATTGATGCAAAAAAGGAACAGTAACCAAAATTATTTTGATGACTTTTTCAAATACAGACATGTCGCAAAATAACACAAAACAGAGCTTAGTATTTCAATAGGAAAGCATAAACTAAAATTATTGTTCCGACCATTTAAAATGGGGAGGAACTTTGTATTCGGGTCTGCTTCAGTTTTTTTTACCTTTTGGTTTTCCACGCAAAATCATGTACCGCAAATAATGATCGGATGGGGTTGAAAGACATATCATATTAAAGCCCTTACAGTCGTGATTCGAACATTCAAAAACCTCAAAAAACTTTCCCGGTGTCAAGAAAAACCGGTTTGCAATTTTTGAATTTTCGTCTTATTTCGAGCAATTAAAGCGAGCGATCAGTCTTAATTTAATTGCATAGAAACTTACAATAGCTCAATTTAAAACGTAAAAATTAGTTTTACTTGGATAACGTTAGTTTACTATGAACACTTAAGCGCCTTTTTGGAATCAAAATTTTCAAAAATTCAAAAAACTGCTAAATTCGAAATTTTTTTTGATGATTTTTTTTTGTTTTTTCAGTAAATTTTTTTTACAAAAATTGATTTTTAATTCGTTTTTTTTTGTGCGGCTGTCGAATATACCTAATACCTTTTTTGATTAGCTCTTTTTATGACACCACTCCGAAAATAAAACAATAATTTGAAACAAAATTTGTTGTATTTTTTGAAGACTATGGTCGACCAATTTGATTTTCTGAGCTCTGCTGCAAGCACTATATAGACCCTTTTTTGAGCAAGTTTTCTGCGCCGCAGGCAAATTTTTGAAAAAAGCGTTTTTAGACACTTTTTGGATAATTATAGCCAAAAAATCGCTCTACCCCTCAAAATTAGTATATTTGAGCGCCAAAGGCGACTTTAGAAAAAGTTCAGGGTCAGACAGACAAACATGGATATTTTAAAATAGTACAAAGGGGCACCCTTTATGTCGGCAGGGGATCAAATCTCTGAGAAGGTGGAGGCGATTCTAAACCAACCTCCCCACCCCCCACCCCACCATCCGGCTGATGATCCCATTAAAAATCAGACATAACAGTTACTGTAATTTGAATATGTATTGCGTAATAAAGATCTAATAAAACGTCAGAAAATATCGAATAAAATCTTCCAGATATGTTAAAACTTCAGCATCGGGTGAGTAGATGTTTAATTTCTAATCTAGATCTTGAACTAATTTCAGTTTTTCTTGGCTATGATATTAATGTGTACTCGCGAATAAACAACCGAGTGTTTTTCAACACAGATATCTTCGTATTCTTTCTGTGCTTTATTCTTCGTCTCTTCATTTCTGCAGTGTTTTGTCATCATTGTGAAGACATTCTTACCCAAAGTGTCAGCCGGGTGGCCTTCTGGTATAAACTTGTCAAAGTGCAAAACTTCACACGATTGGCTAAAATCACAACCAAAAACTGCATATAATTACAACTAAACTGTTGGCTAAATTGTTATACTTTTCTGTAATTGAGCCTGTACCACTTTTTTTTTACTTGTTCACAATTAGACAGTGTCGAAACAATACTAAACCGAAAGCGCATGTATTTTGTCTGATTAAATGCTAACGGTCACCAATTTGCCAACAACAGTCTAATTCTGAATGCCTCAGAATCATCAAAATTCATATCAGACGCCAGAGATTAAATTAAGCTCACATGCTCTCTCATTCCTTTTATCAATTTTGAATCAAATTTCAATAAAAACTGAAAACAGTCGCGAACAAGTTGTCAGAACAGCTGGTTTTTGCTGAGTAGTTTGTCAAGAGAATTCGCGCCAAAACCGTCTGGGTTATCATCATATTTTTCAAGTAATTGGTATATTTTAAAGGCCGGTAAAATGCATGAGAAAAAGCTAAACAAAAAAGACATGCACTCTGAGCAATAAAATGAACACGAACCTGATTAAATTTTTGTACATAGCAGGTGGAATATAATTAGCATGATCACCGCACAACGCGTGTGTTCTGATTTCACCAATGGATTGCAGCTCTAGCTGATGAAGCGCAGTGCACACTGTCTTCTGTGCCCAGAAGGCGGCGGTGCCGTGAACGAACTCCTGCACTACGAACATTCCCCCTGGTTTCAGGACACTCAGTAGACATCCGATTGCATAGTCTGCGCGGCAGTGATGTAGCACCAGTCTGAAACAAACGCTCAAATAAGCAATTGGTTGCACCAAAAACGTGAAAAGGGTTTCAAGCTATGGGTAGATACCAGGGGCGGACGGGTTAAGCCACTGACCTCTTCTAAAGACGCGCAATTCGCTTAACTTCATTGATGACTTTTCTCTTGAAAAACCGTATGCTGCACAGAAGTTTAGGAAAATGAGGTTTTTTAAAACCTATTTTGCCTAAAACAAATTTCACGAGCTCTCGGAAAGGCAAATTGGGTGACGTCAAAAAGGTTGAAAGAAAAATTTTAATGGATCTTCTAAATGGTAAATCAAGCAGCTCAAAATTAAAAATCCAGCAGCGAAATTGTAAGTTTCCTGTAGAACTGTGGATTCTTCGCTCACCTAAGAACTCCGTGAGGCACCTCGGTTTGGACTTTGTAAAGCAAACAAAAATTTTCCGCTCCGGTCTGACTTCATTTATGCCCAGCGATGTAACTGCACGTAGCCCCTTGGCCCTGCTCGCGGCGATATTCGTAAACAGTAGCCTTTTTTAGCCATTACGCGCATTTCGGCCCAAGGATTTCAGGTTCAACGATTCATTGCCGAGAGATTGAACAGTGTGCAAAAAGAAGACTGAAAACCGCAAGTTGTTTGTTGTTCCGCAAGCAAATTTTTTCGTCCCGAAGACTCATTGTTCGTCCCGGTGATTAGATTCTTAATACAGGGGGCGATCGTGACTCAGACGTCTGTTATCTCGAGAATTGTTGTGATAGACTAATTGTTGCGATAAACTATTTTATTACATAGTTTCAGAGAATGGAAATTGAAAATGATGATGCCAACAGAGCCATGACAACCCAGACTATTGTTACCCCACCTATTCAGTTTGATGATCAAACACCAGTAGCCAGGCCAGAAAACGAAAAGAAGCGTTACCAAGCTAAGTCCTGGCGCCGACTGAGATACTGATTCTGCTGATATGATGAAAATAATTGAACATACGATCGCTAAGTCAATTAAAAATCTGATTCCAACCGTAGTACAATCGATCAAAGAAGAAGTGGACAAAGTGATTAAGAAAACAATCCAAGAAGCTGCTGCCCAAATGAAGTCCCAAATAATATCAGAAATTAAACAAGAGCTCGCCAATCAAGAAACACGATGCAACCTTAGAGTTTATCTGAAGCCGAATTACTAGAGTCCTACAACATAAAAATTATTGGATTAGAAGGAAACCAGCGCGAAAATGTAGATGCAACTATGGAGAAAGTGATCGACATTGCCAATCAAATGAATGGTGACGTCGAAAAGCAGACATATCAATAGCGCACCGATTACCATCTGGTAGCAACCAGAAAACCATTACAGTGAGATTTTCCAGACGAGTGGCGAAGATAAATATATTGAAGAACAAGGAAGATTGGGCAAGTAATACAAAATTGGAGGGAATTTGCGTATTTGAAGATTTAAGCCAGCCCAGGTTCTAGTTTTTGAAACTGATGAAGATTGATGATAGATTACAATCGGCGTGGACATATTTTATCAGTGGAAAGCTGATCAGAACACTTACCGAATCCAAGGATTATACGAAGGAGGCAATGCTCTCAACTATCGGTTCAATGATGTTTGGAATTGTTTTCACAGTGTTTTTGGGCCATCGCAAGGATCGGAAGGCACTTAAACTAAATTTAACTATCAAAAATAAATCAAAAATGGAGGGTGATTTTTTCAATAGTCAAAAAATACTGGAACATGTCAATGTGTTACACTTAAACGTACAATCTTTACGGAAACATGTTGAAGATTTGGAGGTACTGGATCACTGCCTTGAGTCTCTGCCCCATATATTATTTGTCTCTCTGAGACGTGGTTAAGCAAAGAAAATGATCCTTCTATTTATCTAATAAAAGGTTACAAGGAATATAAGGTCTCTCGCAAATGCAAAAGGTGGAAGGAGGTGGAGTAATGATACAACTGTGAAAAGCTATAACAATAGTCAAAGAAAAAACTATTAGTTTAAGAGAGGCTTTGTCTGTAGTCTTAAACATACTTGGCAAAGCTTGTAATCTCACTGTGATCTATTACAAACCACCGAATAATAAAATTGAGTTCATAGAGCGCTTAGACAGTTTTCTTGAAAGCATAAGTACTGACACGGTACCACACAATCTTTGTGGGGGTATCAATATTCATGTCTCCAAAAAGAATCTAGTCTCTGAAAAATATGCGAATGTAGTAGAATCGAATGGATTCAAGCTGGTGTTGAGATAACCAACTCGGGTGACTGACCAATCTGCTACTTGCATTGATAATTTTGCCATCAAAAACAGATAAGCAGACAAATACCTGAAAAAACATAGGACCTCGTCTGATTCGAACACAGGACCTCGTCTGATTCGAACCCAGGACTTTTGCCTCCCCAGGCATATTTGTTACCTCCATGCTAAGTGGCCGGGAACGCATACAAGTTTGATTTTTTTGAACCAAGGTACAAGTGATTGTGTTAAGCAAGTTGTTAATCCCAAAAAAGTCTATATTTCCAGTTTGATAACGCTTGCTAATCGCAAGCGTAACAATGATTTACTATAGGATGCAGGATTTTGATATATGAATTCAATGAGGTGTATTTTTTTGATATATTTGATGTATTTATCAATGTTTTCCTCATTAACATTTTTCAGAAAATGAAAGTTGTCTTTAGAAAGTGTTTAAAAAAACAATTTCACAAATATACATTATAATATGTTGCTTTTAGGCCTGCCAATGCTTCCTAAGATCTCGGATATTTTTTCATTTGAAGATTTAAGCCAGCCCAGGTTCTAGTTTTTGAAACTTATGAAGATTGATGATAGATTACAATCGGCGTGGACATATTTTATCAGTGGAAAGCTGATCAGAACACTTACCGAATCCAAGGATTATACGAAGGAGGCAATGCTCTCAACTATCGGTTCAATGATGTTTGGAATTGTTTTCACAGTGTTTTTGGGCCATCGCAAGGATCGGAAGGCACTTAAACTAAATTTAACTATCAAAAATAAATCAAAAATGGAGGGTGATTTTTTCAATAGTCAAAAAATACTGGAACATGTCAATGTGTTACACTTAAACGTACAATCTTTACGGAAACATGTTGAAGATTTGGAGGCACTGGATCACTGCCTTGAGTCTCTGCCCCATATATTATTTGTCTCTCTGAGACGTGGTTAAGCAAAGAAAATGATCCTTCTATTTATCTAATAAAAGGTTACAAGGAATATAAGGTCTCTCGCAAATGCAAAAGGTGGAAGGAGGTGGAGTAATGATACAACTGTGAAAAGCTATAACAATAGTCAAAGAAAAAACTATTAGTTTAAGAGAGGCTTTGTCTGTAGTCTTAAACATACTTGGCAAAGCTTGTAATCTCACTGTGATCTATTACAAACCACCGAATAATAAAATTGAGTTCATAGAGCGCTTAGACAGTTTTCTTGAAAGTATAAGTACTGACACGGTACCACACAATCTTTGTGGGGGTATCAATATTCATGTCTCCAAAAAGAATCTAGTCTCTGAAAAATATGCGAATGTAGTAGAATCGAATGGATTCAAGCTGGTGTTGAGATAACCAACTCGGGTGACTGACCAATCTGCTACTTGCATTGATAATTTTGCCATCAAAAACAGATAAGCAGACAATTACCTGAAAAAACATAGGACCTCGTCTGATTCGAACACAGGACCTCGTCTGATTCGAACCCAGGACTTTTGCCTCCCCAGGCATATTTGTTACCTCCATGCTAAGTGGCCGGGAACGCATACAAGTTTGATTTTTTTGAACCAAGGTACAAGTGATTGTGTTAAGCAAGTTGTTAACCCCAAAAAAGTCTATATTTCCAGTTTGATAACGCTTGCTAATCGCAAGCGTAACAATGATTTACTATAGGATGCAGGATTTTGATATATGAATTCAATGAGGTGTATTTTTTGATATATTTGATTTATTTATCAATGTTTTCCTCATTAACATTTTTCAGAAAATGAAAGTTGTCTTTAGAAAGTGTTTAAAAAAACAATTTCACAAATATACATTATAAAATGTTGCTTTTGGGCCTGCCAATGCTTCCTAAGATCTCGGATATTTTTTCAAAAAAACTGCTAAAAAACAATTAACTGACCTGTTCAAAAAAACGGGATTCATCAAAACGGGTGCGAGCCAATTTAAGAGTCATTAACTTTTCAATAATATGTTATTTCTTACACAGATGTAACATCCGGTTATTTACAGCTTGAATCATTGTCAAATAACTAGTTTTTATAATTGTAGCTTGAATCACGGCTGAATCAGGGGCTACTTTGTTGATCAGATACTTTGTTCATAATTTGGGCTACCTTTTAACTGGCGTGGGATCTTATGGCAAGGCGATGTTGATGGGGTTATTTGCAACTGTATTTTTTATCATGAGATTTCTGGGTCTGCTATCCTTTATACTCAAACTTTCGCTCCACCCCATCTGTCGTTCATTTGTTGCGCGAAAAAAACATCCGGATGCAAGTTCCTTCCCCCATTTAGTGGATGAAAAAAATAATTCAACTTGTTCAACGCTATAAAATAACTATACACACCTGATAAACACAAGATCGTATCCTGAGTCAGATTTTTTACAGGGGTAATCCCTCATTTCAATTTGCGTTTTCTTGAAGATAACTTTTTTTTTATTAGCCAGCACTAATTGTTCTAAATGGGTTTCGAAAGATGGTGATGGTTCCATAAGAGTCAAAGTTCCAGGCCCGTCTTTGATTTTATCCAGAAAGAGCTGGCTCATAATTCCAATTCCAGCTCCAGCATCCAAAATGTGCCAATCAGGTTTGATTCCAATTGAGTCCACTAGTTGCTTTGTTTTTTCTTCAGTCAGTTCGTAATTAGTTTTGAGCATCTCTTCATAACTCACATGGTCACTTGTGTTGTGAGCATGGTTATGTGCGTGATTATGCGACATCTTGGTTCTAAAAAAACCAACTTGAGCTGAGATCTTTTCTCCACGGTGGAAAAGATCAACATACAAGCTGTTAAGTTCACTGCGAACAACTTCTTCCGTTTTTTAATAACTGCAAGGTTCTGTTGTTGTTTTCCGACTCGAACCGTCATAAACTTGATTGAGAGGCAGATACTTTAGTCGCCTCCCCGTCGCTCACCTAGAGAATTTCTAACAACTGGTTTCAAAAAATCTGTTTCTTAAAAACTAATTAGAAATGGATGTTGAAAGCGTATTTACAAAAACAAATATTATAGCTTTTAATAGCTTGAGACAATTCTCCTACCTCTTAGAAACTAATAAAAACCTTAACCAGGTATTGATATTTTCGAGATTTGCCAGGACAACCAATAATAATGCAAAATAAACACAGGGGCTAGCCGGAGCTTCGCACCATTTGCGATACAACATAATCATAAGAAAAAATATTCATAAAAAACGTAAAATATTGAAAAAAAACTAGGTCTAACAAAATTTAAAACTTCGTCTGTCTCAGCAAACATGCCAGAAAGTTCAGCAAACATGATAGAAAGATAGAAATTCAGCAAAAATGGTAGAAAATTGATAACTGAAAGGTAAACAGAACAAAAATTACGGCAAAGAAGCTTAGCAAGCTCTAACAATAAAGCAGCGTTATAAAGTGAAAGACGAAAAAGTAGAAGAAAGCCTCGAATTAGTAAAACTTTGCTACGAATCGGACTCGAACCTGCGACCTCGCTATTAGGAGTTTCACGCCCTACCCTCTCGGCCACGAACACTTAAATATCGTCAAACACTGGCCACAAACAAAGCAGCTAAATATGGTAATCAATTTCCAATGCAATGCAGTAAAAGTGGCACCAAATACAAAAAGGCGCAATTTTGCAATTAAAAATGTGGAATATAGCAAGCTGAAGGCCATTACACTAACTTGGCAAATAATAAATTGGACTGCAAAAAGCCAATATTTGTACACAAAGGCGAAGCCAAGATTCGCATCAATTGCGATAACACAAAAATAGGATCGCAAGCTAGCAGACAGGAAAGGAAAGAAAAAAGCCACTTAGTCCAAAGAAATCAAAAACTTTTCTAAGAAACACCAACTAAAAAACTTCAAAATTTTGTCTGCTATGCTCTTCTATTTTCGGAGAGCACGTTCAGAAACGCTTTTGACGGCGTTAAATTACAATTCAGAAACATTTTAGAGGAAAAAATGTCATACAAACTTTGAACTTTAAATTCTATTCTGAGACTTCTAACGTTTTGTCCAATTCGAAAGAAAACATACAAATTCTGGTTCAGATTCGAACTCAGAACTTTAGCTGTCCCAGGTTTATTCGTTACCTCCAGACTAAGTGCGCCGGAGACGCTTAGAAACTTGATTTCTTTATGAACCAGTAGACAAACTGATTGGATTGATTCTGTTAAGCAATTTGTTAACCCAAAAAAGTCCATTTTCCGATTTGATAACGCTTGCTAATCGTAAGCGTAATAAATTATGCATTTCAAAAAAATCCAAGAGAAACTAACTAGGAAAATTTCTTTAAATCATTTTTTAAATTTTTGTACTGTGGTTTGAAACAAATAACTTTTTCCGGTTCAATTGATTATTTAACACAGAGGCGAAGCTGAGCTTCGCACCACTTGCGAAACAACAATGAATGACAACGCAGAATCAAACGGACTAAATGATAAGGACTCAATCAAATGGAAAAAATCAAAAAATCGTTTTTATCAATAAAAATTGCAACATAAGCCCAAAATACCCGAAAAAAAAAGCTTACGCCATTAGTAACTCTATAACCAGCTTTGGCAATGCTATACAGAAACCAACTTTTCAAAAAATTCCTTTCTGCCGAAATAAGCAGACAAAAATAAGCAGATAGACAATAATCTAAATTAGATAAAATTCTACATTCTATATAGAAAAACAAGTCTCAACAGAAATCGAACTCCCGTGCTTTGTCGTCTCAAGCATGGAGTTTACAGCAACTTGGAATAAACACAAAGCATAGAGCGACGGGAACCAAGCCGACAAAATTCAACAAACGGACGATAGTCCGAAAAAGCGCAAAAACTCTAGTTAGCAAAAAAGGGCCCGGCCGGATTCGAACAGCAAATCTTTTCTCAAGCAGTTGTTTTATCTCTACGCCAGATGCGCTGGATGGTTGACTGGATTTGAATTTATAGTTGCCAAGCGGTAACAAGCCGAAAAAGCCTGAGCAGAAACCCTTCATGACGAAAAAAATTCTAAAATTGTAAAAACTTTTAAGTCCCTTCGCCCCTCAGAGCACACACACGCTCAAAAAAACTTTTTCGGACATAACGACGCAGTAAGAGGCCACTAAAAATACTAAACAATGAAAACAAAGAGAAATTTTAACAAATCGAGATGGCTAATATAACAATTTGAAAAACAAATTTAGTTTCGGCCCGATTTCCTAAAAGCATAAAACAATTGCAGCAAAAAATGTTTACAGCTAAAAAAACTATTCTTAGATGTGGCAACTAAGCCGAAAAAACGTAAGCAGAAAAATAGAAGGCCGAAATTTTTTGAGCCGGAACATCAACCGTTTAGAAAAAAATGGTCCTGTTCAGAATCGAATCCAAGACCTTTGCCGTCTCCGGCGTATTCGATACTACCAGGTCAAGTGTGCAAAATACACTACAAAATTTGAATTCATTATGAACCAAATTACCAAAGTTGTGGACAAAATTGGCTACAGAAAAAAGTCCAGTACCCGATTGCAATACCCTTGCTATCGCAAGGGAAAAAAGCATCAACTGTGTTAACTTTTTACTAATCAAATGCCATAGCACATTCTATCACAAAGACATAACGATGCCACCAAAAGTGGCACCAATTCTTTCCAATAAGGTTGAAAACAGAATAGTCGTACTAGTACACTACGTTCGCTTAAGCTCGCAAGAGGAAACAAAGCAGACCATTTTTGAGCAGACACACGTTGAGCCAAAAAAAGTGATTTTATTTTAAAATCTGATAAGTTTTGAGTCCCCTGAAAAATCGACGAACAATACTTGCACTTGTACCATGTAACCAAATCCAAAGCGCAATCTAAATTCCTGATGTGGTAACTAAGCCGAAAACATTAGAGCAGACAAACAAAAATCCGACTATTCAATTTTTACCATTTTTTTCGAATGCATACAAACTGAAGAAAAAAATTAAAGACCGGACGAAACTCGACCCGCAGACCTGAGAGTGCAAAGGCGACGACGTTATCTCTAGGTCAAGTGGGGAGGAAAGTAGACGTTGTTAAGGTTGAACAATAAAGCAAGTTGAAGACTCGAACGAAAAGTTGTTAACGGGCGAAAAGTTAGTTCCCGATTACAAGACGCTTGTTTCTCGCAAGTGTAAAAAATCATCTGGAAATAAAAAGTCTAAAAAACGAATAAGCTGACAACGAGAAATCTCTTTCCTCGGGTTATGAAGCCTCCGTTTTCCTGATCTAGCCATCTATCCCTTAAAGTGTATAAATATCGTCAAACACTGGCCCAAAACAAAGCAGCTAAATATGGTAATCAATTGCCGATGCAATGCAGCAAAAGTGGCTCCAAGTACAAAAAGGCGAAATTTTGCAATTAACATTTGGAATATAGCAAGCTGAAGGCCATTACACTAACTTGGCAAATAATAAATTGGACTGCAGAAAGCCAATATTTGTACACAATATTTGTACACACTTGATCTAGATATAGATTTCTTTGGTGATGATTTTGTTTGGAAGAATTTGTATCCCTTCTCTTGAATGTGCTGGAAAAGTCCTGGTCTTAAAATTTTCTGGAAGGAAAACTGAATTGACAGTAGATTACTGATGCTATATCGAAAAAGTACACCTAAACGGAAAAATTCTCATTCCAGATATTTTTTTAAAAAATCAGGTCCAGACGGCAATCGAACCCTGGACATAAATTTATTCAACCACGCATTATGCTCCCTACCTCTTGGAAGTTGAGATTAAAAAATATAGCAAGGTCAATTTAGTAAAGACGTGTAAGGAAAGATTTTTACTAGAAAAAGGCTAGTTCCGGATAATAGGTCACTGCTCTCGAAGTGTATTCCCGTGTATTCCCTTGATTAGCAGTGACTTATTATCCGGAACTAGCCTTTTTCCAGTAAAAATCTTTCCTTACACGTCTTTACTAAATTGACCTTGCTATATTTTTTAATCTCAACTTCCAAGAGATAGGGAGCCTCATCAATCGGATGCGGGGCAAAAAATTAAAACCAACAAAGCTACAAAATTGATTATACAATACATTCACAAATATAATTTCCTTCGGTATCAGTGACTTGAAACTGTACTGTAACAATATGAGTCGTTCTCTTCTTAAATTTAAAGTAACTCGTGTTAACTCATAGATGAAGTTAGGCCGAAACCTATAGCTTCTTCAGATAGAAAACAATAAAATTCAATGCTAATGTAAAACCCTAATGTAAAAGCTGTAACTCAACAGTAAAATACTGAAACAAAGAAAACAATATATGTCACACAAGTACGCCTTACTCTTTTGACATAAAATGTTTTTTTTTCTTTGTTCCAGTATTTTACTCGCGTTAAAGCTTTATACATATAGTTTTCTTGAAAACCTATTATTTCATAGTTTTGTTGCACTCCTCAAGTGTGTTTTGTTTTTCAGTTTTGCTGTTTGCCTGATGATGCCAATAAATGGCGAAAACGTTTGGAATTACAACTTCTTCAACAATTTTCAGATTTCCAGAGACTCATAGCTACTGTCAAAAAACGAGAAACACCCAACTATGAACATTATAACTGGTTTGAGTTGGTTGCAAATTAAGCCGACATAACGTACGCCACAATAATTGAGCAAAACAAAAAATTTAAAAAAAAATTTAAAAACTATTGCAGATTTAGCAATCAAAAATTATGAAAGTATTTGATTTTCGGGGATTTAGAACCTGCAAAAAAAAACCGAAATAAAATAAATATATAAATTCAGCATAAACTGGATATGTAATTGCTTGAATTTTTTGTTTTCACAGGTGTATTAGCCTAAAAAGGTTTCAGCTTATGTTATATCAGCTTAATTGCCTCATTTTGCGTAACAATGAAAATCTGAAATAATGAAAATGTATTTTTATCTTCATAAGGACGCAGATGAGGCAATTAAGCCCATATGATGATTTGAACCGGAAATTTTTAGCCCAACATCCCTGTTAAAACATCATAGCAAACAGACAGTTCGCACCACTTTCGATTTAACGCAATCATAAAAACATGTCGAGAAAAAATGAAAAATGTTGCGAAAAACAAGGTGAAGTAAAATTTTCGTATAACTCGAGGAAGGGCACCTAGTGCCCAGCTATAGCTGGAAGCACGTCTTTGATATTTTTTTGAATTTGCCATACTGATGCGGGACGAAATGCTTAACTTAGAAATTGGATTTTCCCAAAACCTTAATTGTTTCTCTTCTAAAATTAGTGAGAAGAGTGAAATCTATTGAGATTTTGGAATGTTTCCAAAGTCATAACATTTCTCTTATAAAAAATGGCCGCTTTTGCACGAAAA